ACCATTAATCCTATAACCCAATAAATAATTAACGGTCCGGGTTATCGGTTTTACCTGATATATGCCCACTCCTAGACACCATAACCTATTCACTGTTTTTTAATTGTAGTGCTATAGCGAACTGGCAAATTGGTGAATACATACAATCGTATATAGCTAGATTATCATGTATGCTCTACACCTTAGGAAGGCCATCCTCATCTGTTCAAGTATTTTACTTTTGCAACGTTCAGTTCTGTTATTTGTGTGTCAAAATATGTGCACATAGTAATGTGAAGACGGAGAGCTTGTGCATATTTATCTTTGTGATATTAGTGAATGATGTTAGGCCACTCAAAAACGGAGTCATATTATCCTCCAATGTAGAGTTTAGAATTCTTACAACCACTGTGTCATATTTATGACACTGATCTTGAAGCTTGCTGAAGGAGTAGACAAATTCCTCTCCAAAATACAGAGCATAGCCATGTTAGAAAATAGAGAGCGCAACCTTTTTACGGGGCTAACTCCACTGTCTAGTACTAAATGTGGTTGCAGGGATGGTTTCCCTTGAGCTGTCATAGGTTGAGTTTGATTTACTATTGAGATCCCTTCCATCGAGTGTGGGTGGAGATTTGAATTGTTTATTGATATTTTTCTGCTTGCGAAGGAAACCTGACGAGTGATCTTGATGACAAACAAATCTATTTGGTAAACTTCTTGGTTGATTAATTACCTTTAATTCGAAAAACTGGTGCAATGATCTTTGTGCTACTTATCAAACTCCTACTCATGCTTTTGTATTTTTCTCTTTTGGGGGTTTTTGATGACAAACAGGGTTTTAGAAAGGTTGATCCAGATCGCTGGGAATTTGCTAATGAGGGATTCTTAAGAGGTCAGAAACACCTGCTTAGAAGTATAAGTCGGCGTAAACCCGCTCATGGACATGCTCAACAACAACAGCAGCAGCCACATGGACAGAGTGCATCTGTTGGGGCGTGTGTTGAGGTTGGGAAATTTGGACTTGAAGAAGAGGTTGAGAGGCTGAAAAGGGACAAGAACGTGCTTATGCAAGAGCTGGTTAAGCTCAGACAACAGCAGCAAACTACTGACAATCAGTTGCAAGGGATGGTGCAGCGCCTTCAGGGTATGGAACAACGACAACAACAGATGATGTCATTCCTGGCAAAAGCTGTTAACAGCCCTGGATTCTTGGCACAGTTTGTACAGCAGCAAAATGAGAGTAATAGGCGCATAGCTGAAGGCAGCAAGAAACGGAGGATTAAGCAGGATTTTGAACCACAGGATCATTCAGTTACCCCTGTGGATGGACAGATTGTGAAGTACCAACCTGTGATGAATGAGTCAGCTAAGGCAATGCTTAGGGAGCTTTCAAAACTAGATTCTTCTCCTAGACTAGAGAACTTCAACAGCAGTCCTGAAAGTTTCCTGATTGGTGATGGTTCACCACAATCTAATGCGTCTTCCACTCGTGTTTCAGAAGTCACTCTTCAGGAAGTCCCACCAACTTCTGGCCAGCCCTTGCTGAGTACAGCTTCAGCAATTACCGGTCAAAGTTCATCTTCTGAAATTACCAATAACCAGTTTTCAGACATAAGCTCATTTGTAGAAGCTCAGGATTTGCCTCCTGTTTCGCTTTCTGCGACAGATATGATTATGCCTGAGCTATCACAGTTACAAGAAATCTTGCCTGGAAACAATATGGATATTATCGAATCTGAGATGGAGAATGATTCTTTCATGGATTCTTCAGTCGGAGCGAACGGGAAAATGCCATTAGAAATCGGTAGTTTCTCTCCTGATCCTCAAATTGAATGGCAGACTGGTTTGCTGGATGATATACAAGAGCTTCCTGGTGTCGGTGACCCCTTCTGGGAAAAGTTTCTTCAAAGCCCTTCCCCCGGAGAGACAGAGGAGATGGACCCTGTTGCAATGGATGATATTTCCAATGAAACCAAGCCACAAGAAAATGGATGGGACAAAACTCAGCACATGGACCAGCTTACTGAACAAATGGGGCTACTAACATCAAACAATCAAAAACTATGATCTGGTTATCAAAGAAAATGTACATTGAGTTATGTTAGAAAATTCAGGTAGTGTCTGTATCGTAAGTCACTTGGCCTTTACCTATAAGAGAGCTGCTAATACGCACTTTTGGTCCCTGGGCTCTTTGCACATAGGGGACCTTGTTAGCTTCTAGTTTACCCTGTTTTTGATCATCTTGATTTCTCTCTTCTTCTTGACATAAAGCTGAATGGATCTAAGTTTACATTAAATCGACGTTTCTTTTGTCCCTTCCCCTTTCTTTTTACATTCATGCACACAAATATGTAAAAATATGTATCGGTTGTTCCAGTTGTTGCTGTGATATAAGCTTTATGCTCCCATCAGAATGTAACGATTCAATAGACTTTTTGCTGCCTTTGTTTTGCTGTCAATATTCCAACTGATGCGCCTTTTACCCTCTTCTTTGTGACCCTCGTAAACTGTACTTCAGTATACACTGCTATATCGTTTGTTACATCGACTCCATTGTTCTTTTGTTTTATTGTTATTCTACTTTGTAGCTTATAGTATATTGTACAGGGAATGACAGGCTAAGTGAAGCTCATTAAATACATATTTTTGTGCATATATGCATTGTGGTATAAGTTGCATTCCTGAGTTGACTAAGGTCGAGTCTATCGAATGAGGTTCAATTTAGAGTTTTGGAAAGGGAAAAGACTGACCCGCATCAGGTATCTGATGCAGTTAGAAACTGCATGAGAATAGTATTTAAAAGCAATTTTACCATTGAAGTATGTATAAATGCTTGAAAATTTTGTACTTAATTCATATGAAAGTGAAGAAAGAAAGTATAAATAAATGCTTAAAAGTCTTCATTTATTGGAAATCTACGTATGAAAAGAAAATGAAACTGTATTATGGGACATAGAGTGTGTCAAACTACCCAAAAATCAGTTAATAACGGTATGATTATTCAATTAACATTCTCCCAAATTTTAATGTCCAAAAAATTGAAAAACGAAATAAAATCCATTGCAGATAAAATCATATTGCTTGAGTTGCAATCTAGTTATAATTACAATTTTTCTTGTTTTATTAAGGTGTAAATTAATTTCAATAAAGACTTTATGTCACCCATGGGTGGAGATAGGGTGGCGGAAAGGGGTTCATCTGAACTCCTTTCGCCGAAAAATTATACTATATATAATAGAGGTTGAATTTCTTTGGCTTCTTCAATTGTTCACCTTTTTATATTTAAAATTACTCCGATGAAAATCCTGGCTTCACTGTCACCTACTTTGCAAACCTCACCTCTCTCTGATACCTCAAAGACTTGGGGTCTTTCCATTCGCAATCTTATTATGAGAAAATTATAATACAAGAGGTGTTTATGCATTGTGTTATTATATTATGAATAATAATGTGAGAAATGTTAATGAAGTAGATAGTCTTAAAGGAACGCTACGTAGAAAATGTTAATTTAAGTGTAGTGTTGTGTTTAATTACTTCATCTTCGTATGGCTAATACACGTATTCTCATTTCACGTTATGTTCTGCATAAATTAGTATATATCTTTTTGCATAATTTACTACGGAATATTTTTACTACGGCCAAGTGAATAATACATTAGTTATATATAATTATTTACAGTGGCGAACGAAAAGTATAATTATTCAGCGTTTTCGACAAGTGTATAAAATCATTAAAATTCCAACAACTATTATATTTTCATCATATAATTTCAAAAAAATAATGAATTTTAGAGATTTAGTGATAAAAATCTTCTGATTATACCTATCAAATTAAATTTTTAGATATACCTCTAATTATTTGCTCTTATAAGACAAATCAGATACTGAATTATGTGGATTATTTTTCGTTATCCTTCCAATCAAAATCAAATTAATTTATTCAAGATTTTAGCAATAACTTTCACAAACTCCTTTTCAAAAAAGGAAAAAGGAAAAAATATAAAATTGATCGATCAACCAGAACTAAGTATATTCGCTTGTCAAAAAGCATATAAAATATATATATTGCAAATATATAATACATATAAAAATTATATATATTTGTCATCTATTATTTTTAAAAACAGCTAAAAATATATATTTCTTAAAATTCAAAAAGCCTGTTTTCCGAAAATGTTGTCCAAACATTCGTGCCCCTTAACGGATACGAAATATCCAAATCCCATTCCTAATCGGAAACTTTCGCCGCTTCACTTGGCTTTGTTTTTTCTTTCGTTAAAGAAAAGCTCAATTAAATCTTCAATTCTATATTTCATTATATATACAGAGAAGAAATAGAGTGAAGGCTAGGGCTGTGCATAATTTGGTAAATACCGAATTATCGTACCGAATCCGAAAATTTTGATATTTGGTATTCGATATTTTGGTATTCAGTATGATATTTGGTATTTTAAAATGAAATACCGAAATTCTGATACCGTACCGAAATATATATTATATTGCACAATACACATATTATTAATTATAACATGAATATAAAAAATCTAAAATTTTGTTTTTCTTTATTCGCTAAGTTCATCAAGTAACTCTAAGCAAGTAACAAGACATTTCTAACGATCAAATTTATTCCTTTATATACAATTTTCTCTTTGGGTTGATATTTACTGATTTTGGATAAAACTTTTGTCAACAAACGTTTTTAATTTTGTACTTTTGAGTACGTTAATTAAGAATATTATATGCTATGACTCTATGCACAAGTTAGTATTCAAACCGAATAAACTGTAGTTACCGAACCGAATAAACCGAAAGGAGAAAAACCGAACCATGCCGAATTTAATTAGGTACGGTATTGGTATAGCATTTTAAGAAACTGAATACCGAAAATACCGAACCGAAATGTCTAAATAACGTACCGTACCGATGGACGAACACCCAGTGAAGACAAATATTTTTTTTTCTTTTTTCTTTTTAAAATATATATACTGAACTTTTAGCCCAAGCCCAAACTCCTTCTAATGAGTTCATTCGAAAAACAAACAAACGGACCCTAAATCCGAACCGCTTACTGCTGTTGCCAACCATTCTATGCTCTGCGCCCTAATTTGTTCCTTCTCATCTCCCTCCGGCGAACTTCTTCACGTTCTCGTCATAATCCGGCCGTATCAAATTGTATGTATGCCCTAGTTGTTATCCTTTCAGTTATTCTCTTTGCAATTATTTTAATGCTAAAGTTTTGGCTTGATTGAGCTGAATTTTAGAATTTTTGAGTGATTAATAGAGTTGAATGGATCTGAATCGATAATTATTTGGTTCATCATCATAGTATTTCCTTGTTCTTTTGTATTCTGTAGACAGCCTTAGGGTTCAATTGGGCGATTTAGACTTATTGTTTTATATTTCCTTGTTTTAGGTCTGTTTATTGTCAAACTGCCAATTATTGTGTTTTATAAATTGCTCTCATTTTGTCTAAATTATCAAAAATATTAGTAACTAAAAAGTTGCTCTTTTTTTTTTTTTTTNTAAAAAGTTGCTTTTTTTTGTCCATGTAGTTTTTGAAGTTGTTATTGGACAAGTAGCTGAGCGGAATAGAAGATCATGGAAGAAGAGTTAACTGATATGCTTTTGGAGGCTGCTGGTAGAACAAATACGGGCGGAAGGAATCGCCCTCCTCCATCGTCTAGGAGGCATCAGAAGAGTTCATATTCTGACGATGGAAGTGATTCCAGGGACGCTGACTCCGATGATGATTGTGGGTATTCAGGTAGAAAGCTTTCCGGTTCACAAGTTGCTCTCAAGAAGGGATTGGACCCTCCGGAAAGAGACGATGGTCGTAGCAGTCGCAGAGAAGGTGTCGATGATGGAGATGCTTATGGTGAGAGGAGGAGAAAAAGTGAACGAGTAGATGAGGATGAAAGGGTTGTTAGGAGTGAGAGAAGAAGAAGAGATGAACGCGAAGATGACGCTGGAAGAGATGATAGGAGACAAAGGAAGGTGAAAGATGATGAAAAGGATGATAAGAAGGAGAGCAGAAAAAGTGAAAGCCAAGTTGTTGATGATGATGATGAAGGGGATGATAGGAGGAAGAGGAGGAGAAGACATGAAGGTGAAGATGGTGATGTAAAGGATGATAGGAAGGAGAGGAGTCGAAGGAATGTAGATGAAAGGGATGATAGGAAGGAGAGGAGTCGAAGGAATGTAGATGAAAGGGATGATAGGATGGAGAGGAGTCGAAGGAATGTAGATGAAAGGGATGATAGGAAGGAGAGGAGTCGAAGGAATGTAGATGAAAGGGATGATAGGATGGAGAGGAGTCGAAGGAATGTAGATGAAAGGGATGATAGGAAGGAGAGGAGTCGAAGGAATGTAGATGAAAGGGATGATAGGATGGAGAGGAGTCGAAGGAATGTAGATGAAAGGGATGATAGGAAGGAGAGGAGGAGACAGGAAGATGATGGTGAGAAGGTGCCTANCATGTAGTTTTTGAAGTTGTTATTGGACAAGTAGCTGAGCGGAATAGAAGATCATGGAAGAAGAGTTAACTGATATGCTTTTGGAGGCTGCTGGTAGAACAAATACGGGCGGAAGGAATCGCCCTCCTCCATCATCTAGGAGGCACCAAAAGAGTTCATATTCTGACGATGGAAGTGATTCCAGGGACGCTGACTCCAATGATGATCGTGGGTATTCAGGTAGAAAGCTTTCCGGTTCACAAGTTGCTCTCAAGAAGGGATTGGACCCTCCGGAAAGAGACGACGATCGTAGCAGTCACAGAGAAGGTGTCGATGATGGAGATGCTTATGGTGAGAGGAGGAGAAAAAGTGAACGAGTAGATGAGGATGAAAGGGTTGTTAGGAGGGAGAGAAGAAGAAGAGATGAACGCGAAGATGACACTGGAAGAGATGATAGGAGACAAAGGAAGTTGAAAGATGATGATGAAAGGGATGATAAGAAGGAGAGCAGAAAAAGTGAAAGCCAAGTTGTTGATGATGATGATGAAAGGGATGATAGGAGGAAGAGGAGGAGAAGACATGAAGGTGAAGATGGTGATGTAAAGGATGATAGGAAGGAGAGGAGTCGAATGAATGTAGATGAAAGGGATGATAGGAAGGAGAGGAGTCGAAGGAATGTAGATGAAAGGGATGATAGGATGGAGAGGAGTCGAAGGAATGTAGATGAAAGGGATGATAGGAAGGAGAGGAGGAGACAGAAAGATGATGATGAGAAGGTGCCTAATAGAAGGGAGGATGAGCACAGACCCAAGGGTAGGGTTGATCGTTATAATGATGGTAGAGAAGGGGATAGGAAAGATAGGAGGAGGGATGTAGAAAGAGAAAAGAGGGTCGATGATAAGCATGAAAAAGATAAAAATAGGAAAGCTAATGCACAAGAGGATGGGGCTTTGAAAGCCGGTGAGGAGGATTCCAAGGTGCAAAAGCAAGATGTTAATTTGAATATGGACACATCAAAGTTGGGCAGGAGCGGCGGTGTTTACATTCCGCCATTCAAATTGGCTAGAATGATGAAGGAGGTTCAGGACAAGAGCAGTGTCGAGTACCAGAGGATGACTTGGGATGCTCTAAGGAAGAGCATTAACGGGCTAGTGAATAAAGTTAATGCAGCAAACCTCAAAAACATTATCCCGGAGTTATTTGCCGAAAACTTGATTCGAGGGAGGGGTCTCTTTTGTAGATCCTGTATGAAGTCCCAAATGGCTTCTCCAGGTTTTACTGATGTCTTTGCGGCATTGGTTGCCGTGGTTAACACCAAGTTCCCAGAAGTGGGTGATCTTTTGTTAAGAAGGATCATACTGCAGCTGCAAAGGGCTTATAAACGTAATGATAAGGTTCGTATCTCTTGCTTTTATGCTTGCAGGTCTTTTCTATTTATGCAATATAATGTATATTTGTACATTATTGTTGTTTGGACGACAGAGAACAGACGGTT